TTTGGAAGGGGGGGGGGAAGAAAAAAAAAAGTTCAATTACCAAACGGTCATTGAATTTAGTGACCAGAACGGTCACTGAAAAGTGACCGAAAGGGTTACTTTTGTGACCGTTTTGGTCACAGGCTCAACGAGCCATGAGCCGCTCGTGGGCGGGCTCGGCTCGCCTCCTGGCGAGGCCCGCCCAGCTTGTGCTCGGGCTCGTGATTTCACGAGCCCGAGCCGCCCACGAGCCTCTTTTCCACGAGTCGAGTCGGCGAGCCGGTTCGGCCCAATTGACATCCCTAGGGGAGAGGAAGGAAAGTGAATTCCCTAGAAAATTATTGCAATCAAAGGGCCAAAAGGTGGAAAATGAAAAATGTTTTTAATTTTCCATAGAAAATTGGCCCTATCAAACAAGGCCTTAGTGTTTTTAAAGAATGGAAAATCCAAATTGATAATAATTAAAAATTTTAAGGACTAATAACGGTTTAAAATATTGCAACTATGAAATCAATAATTTTTGTAAAGAGAGTGATATTTTAAGATATAGAACCGTTACTTACACTCTTTGATAAAATGGCATAGATGAAGGAATGAATAGGACTGTCTTAAATAAAGTAAGATGCATGTTATTGAGTTGACTTGCATAAACTGTTTTGGGATGAAGCTGTTAAAACTACTACTTATCTAGTTAATAGAAGTCCTTATAATGCTTTAAATTTCAATGTACCTAGATTGTGTGGACTCGAAAATATGTTGATTATTCTCATCTAAAAATATTGGGCCATGATGCATATGCTTATCAAAACATAGGAAAGTTGGAACCTAAATCACTTAAATGTATATTCTTGGGTTATGATGAGTATTAAGGAATACATGTTGTACGTTAAGGTATAAAGACGATATAAAATTGTAATAAGAAGGGATATACTTTTAATGAATCTCTTTTACCATACTTAATTAGCAGGTAAGACTTAAATCTTAACCGAAAAGGATGTTCAGATTGAGGTAGAAACATCACTTAGAAAGAAATGATACTCTTTTTCGTAGATGGGGAATTTGGTTATATTGAGGACAAACCCTTATAGGGTATTGAAGTTGGTCAAGAAATTGATCATAACGACCAAACTGATCCTGCAACTCTGCCTCTTGATGTATCAACTCATAAGAGATAGGTAGAGAAAGCAGTTCAGACTTCCTGGCGAGTTTGATAGTGATGATTTTATCTCTCTATTTAGCTATCAAGAAGAGAATGAAAAATGAACCTAATTCCTATGATGATGTTGTTAAGGGTAAAGATTCTAAGAAATAGTTAGCTATTATGGAAGAAGAGATGGCTTCTCTCATTAAAAATAAATCTTGGTAATTAGTGAAAGGGCCTAAAGGGAAAAAAATAAAAAAATAAATTGACTAATTGTAAATGGATCTATAAAATAAAGGAAGGGGAAGGAAGCAAAGGCAATGTTAGAAACAAAGCTAGACTTATTGTCAAAGGGTTTGCACAAAAAGATGGGGCAGGCTACAACGAGATTTTCTCCCATGTAGTTAAATACACTACTATTAGAACCATTATTACACATGTTACTCAATTCAATCGGAAACTTGATCAATTAGATGTTAAAATTGCCTTTTTATATCGTGAATTAGGTGAACAGATTTATATGAAAAAACCTATTGGTTTAATTAAAGTGATTCTAATAAAACCGAATGTTGAAAAAAATCTTTGTATGGTTTAAAACAAGCACTAAGACAATTGTATAAAAGATTTGATTCATTTGTTTTAAGCTTTGTTTTTAGAGAAGCAAGTACGACATGTGCATTTACTGTAAGGGTGGTGGAGGTATAAATTCCCTGTACTTGGTGCTTTATGTGGATGATATGCTTGTGGCTAGTTATATTAAATCTGAGGTTGATGAAACTAAAGAAAAACTTAAATCTGAATTTGAAATGAAAAATCTTGATTTCGAATATAGATTACAAGAGATAAATGTAAATATTTTTTATTTTTTAATCAACATGGCTACGTGAATAAAATTTTGAAAAAAATTGGCACTTTGAGTGTAAACTCGTGACTTTACCGCTTGCTAATTATTTAAAGCTGTCATCTGATTATTATTATTATCTTAACTGTAAGTAAGAATTTGATAAAATGTCTAAAATTTCTTATGCAAATATTATTAGATCCGTGGTGTATGTAATGATATGTACTAGACTTGATCGTCCTTATAGTATTAGTGTACTTACCAGATTTGTGGAAAGTCATGAGGAAGAACATTAGGATGCCTTAAAATGGTTGCTAAAATATTTAAAGGATGCTTCCGATTCAAGCTTCATGTTTAGAAATTATAAAGAGGAGGTAACTTTGAAGGGATATACTAATTCTGACATTGTTGGAAATAGAGATGATAGGAGATTAACTTCATCTATTTTTATACTTTGCATGGAACTATTATAAGCTGGAAATCACAATTTCAAAAGGTTTTTGCTCTATCTTTCATAGAGGCAAAATACATTGTCGTTACTGATGCTAAAAGAAGAAATTTGATTGACGTGGTTTACTGAGTAAACTTGACTTTATTGATGAAAATCTTTTCTCATCTTTTGATAACTAAAGTGCAATATATTTGAGTAAAAATACCATGTTTCATGACAGAAATAAACACATAAATGTTAAGTATCGTTTTATAAGAGAGATCATATCTAAAGGGATACTTAAGATTGGGAAAATTGCAACTTTGTTTAATTCTTCGGATATGGGAACTAAAGGAATATCTTTAAGTCAATTTAACTATTTCTTGAAGTTATTATTTGTTGATAGTTTGAATTGATTGTACAGGTACAAAAAGCAAATGAAATTAAAACTTCTAATGATGCTCTAGTTTTGCACTAGGGAAAGTCCAATTCTTAGCAACAAAGTAGAGATAGTTAAGTTCAGCATACATGTGAAGTATGTGCTCCCAAAATTGGCCTAAAGTCGTGTTTTGTGAAACATGTTTTTACTAGTGGATGCATTTAACTGGATTGTGACACTGGGCTTCCTCTTGGTCATTAGATTGGCTTTGGATTATTCTAAGGGTTAAATCCCTTTGTCTGGCTTTTTGACATTCATTTGGCTTTTGACGTTTGAGAGTTTTTACTCTCTGAAATATTGATCTCGAAAATTTCATTTGAGATTTGAAATCTTCTATTCTCTTTCAGATTATGATGTTTTTGAGTGAAAATGGTTGAAGGATTTGAGTGTTTCTTTTTGTATAAACCAAATTAGAGAGAGTGTGGTTTTGTGAGTTATTAGTAGACTTGTGTCTCGATCCACTGATTCTTTAAAGATCAGTCTTCTCAGTGATTTGATCTTTTATATTTTGGAACTAGTTTTGTACTTGGTTNTAATTATAATTAAACTCCACAATCTTTTTTCATTGTAGAATTATTTTACTTAACATCTTTTCGTCGAATTTTTATCTTCAACATTCCATTAATTATTATGCTCCATCTTTGATAATGATTTATATCAAAATATTTTATTTTTATGATTTGAAATGAGGGGAAAAAATATTTTTCGCACCTTTTAATTATTTATTTTTAAAAATGTGATGAAAAAATAAGTTATACTGCACCATTTTAACGAATTATCGAAAATAAAATTATTATCAAATACAAAATGTGTTGACTAATGGAAAGTTCGAAAATAAGAATGATATGAAAATCTGTTAAGGACATAACTATCATAATGATCAAAGGTTAAGAACTTTAAAAGCAATTAAAATGTAATGCAAAAATTAAAAATTGTGGCCATAAATAAAAATTCCTAAATCCGATAAGTCACAATTCGAAGTCCAATTTCTTCTTCGGTGTAGAGAGAGAAATTGTTTGGTCAGTTCTCTTCGTATCGAAGAAATTCTAAATCCTCGTCCGAAATGTCGGGAAAAGGAGCCAAGGGACTGTTAGCTGGGAAAACACCGGCATCAAAGGACAAAGATAAGGATAAGAAGAAGTCCATTTCTCGCTCCTCTCGCGCTGGCCTTCAGGTTTATTTTGAAATTTCCAAATCCCTCGATTTCCTTGCATTTCTCAAATTTGCTGAATTTTTTTTTTTTTATTTTCCTTGTTTTTATTTGTCTATATTTTGTTAATCTTGTGGTAATTTTTAAGAGCTTCGCGTGATGGACACGAAACAGGTTTATTCAATTAGCACATAAGAAAACCCCGATTTCGAAAAAGCAAAAGTAAATTTGGTAGTTAGCTGGAGGAATTATGGGTGAGAGTATAAGCTTGCTTGATTTAGTTTTTCTTTTCTTTTCTTTTCTTTTTCGCTGTTTCTTTGTTTAAAAACCATGGCGGGAGTTAATAGTAGATATGTTATGAGGTAAAACCATACGCAGCTACAGAATCTGGATCAAAAAATTGGAATCTGTACTAGTTAATCAAAATCTTAATTCACATCGTCTCATTGTTGTTATAATAAGCCAATTATATTACATGAAACATGGCATTAGAGAAAATGTCTTGGAACGAAAAGGATGGATAACTTTCTAGTTGAGAAATGTTTCGCCTTAATGGAGAAAAGCAATTTACTAGTGACAGAGAAGGCCCCTTCATTTGTGCCCTTCATTTATGCAGTTTAATTAATGACACACTTGGAGCCAATTTTTCTAATTATACTGTCTTTTGGTTAGAATTGCATTCCACTCATACTGTTGCTTTAGAAAAAAAGGGTAGTGCTTTGATCTGTGAAGTATAAGTTTGTCAAGTGTTAAAGCTAATTATCAAGAAGGAACTTTTGGATTTGAGATGTGTATCCTTCATTCTTTTGCAATGTTTCATGCCCTGAGATGATGTGCCATGAAGGATGAAAAAACTGATTAAAAAAATATTTCTAATGTGGGGAATGCGAGAAGAAGGTAACTATTTTGGCCTTTATTATCTGAATACCAACACTAAAACGATTGTAAGTGGAGAGTAAAATATATAAGAAATTATGCTTTTATACTAGTTAGCTGTATCTGTTTTCTTATTTGATGATGGACTAGATTACTTCGATTGCTATGAACTATAGAATTTAACATTTCATGTCATTAGGTTTAGTTCTCGTATTGAAGAGCACTCTGACTTCTACTCCATTTTCTCCATGTTAGCAAGTGTGACAATTATTTGACCATTCTTAGGAGACTGGAGTTTAGAAATATATATTGACCACTTGTGTGCTTCAATGACTCCTCTGTATGCTTTTGTTTAAAGGGAAAATTACAGTAGAGCATGTACAAGAACATAGCCAGCGAAGTTGCTGTCAGTCACGTTACTACTAGATGGGCTACTGGAACTTTTGCTGTACCACTTCCTTGCGAGATGATATTCTTCATATTATTAATTATCTGTAGATGCTGCTCTAGTTTAAATTCATGACAACGTGTTTAAGCAATTTGTTGGGTGTATATATAACTTGTCCTGGTTGACTTCAAGATTAGGTTTCACTTGTGGACGTTAGGCACTTTCTCACTCGTCCAAATGTTTATGATTCAATTCGTGGGAGAACAACGGTTATTATAACCTTCAAAGTTTTCGTTGTCTGCCATTTTCTCTTAAAAAACTTGATTGTGGATATTTTAGCATTTTCATTTTTTGAGTTCTTATAGAAATACGCAAAATTCGAACTCATTACTTCTTCCTACAGTTCCCTGTGGGACGGATCCACCGACTTCTGAAGTCAAGAGTTACTGCTCATGGAAGGGTAGGTGCTACGGCTGCTGTCTATTCTGCAGCTATTTTGGAGTACCTAACTGCTGAAGTGTTGGAGTTGGCTGGTAATGCGAGCAAGGACTTAAAGGTGAAGCGTATCACGCCTAGGCATTTGCAGCTGGCTATACGTGGAGATGAAGAACTTGACACTCTCATCAAAGGAACCATAGCCGGTGGTGGAGTGATCCCTCATATACACAAGTCACTCATCAACAAATCCTCCAAGGAATAGACAATAATGTTCTTGCTATCGTCTTTAGGCTTAAGCTATGTAGACTTACATATGTTCTATTTGTCGCATGTTTTGATGCAAACAGTGAATGATTGGTTTTCTTTCAGCCATTTCATGTGCTTGTCATGATGTAGACGTCATTTCAATTGTACCACGTTAATGGACTAATGCAACATGGATAAACTAGTTTTTGTTATATGTGAATTGTTGTTTTAGCGTCCTTAAAAATGCATCATTTTCATGTGTTGGTTGGATTAGAAAATGATAAAAATGAGTTAGTAGAAGCATAACGCATCAGTAATAGAATCCTGGTCACGATATCTCAAAATGAGGCTCCAAGAACGACGTCTCCGGTTGACTACAAATTACACTTTTCAAATGAGAACTGCAAAACTCCACGAATGCAAACAGGGCATTCTTGGAATCATTGCCTTAAAACAGACAAGAAATTATTTACTAATGAACCACAACCAAACGATATAGTCTAGATGAAGGGAGTTCAGCTTGAAATGTTAAAGAGCTGAGACCTTCGGAACCTCCACAGGGAACTTGTGAATTTCATCTATCCACGGGTTCTTCTCCTTGGCAGGATTTATAGTCCTAAGAGCTTTCCACACTGCACTATTGCATTTGAACCCAGAACCAAAAGCTATCTGCCATGTCCTGTCTCCCCTCTTAATCCTTCCTTTGGCTTCTGAATACGCCAATTCGTACCAAAGAGAGCTGCTTGAGGTATTACCAAATCGATAAAGTGTCATTCTTGAAGGCTCCATGTGCCAATTGGATAGCTGCAGGTTTTTCTCTAGTTCGTCCAACACTGCTCTTCCACCAGCATGAATACAGAAATGTTCAAAAGCCAATTTGAAATCTGGGATATAAGGCTTCAATTTCATCTTAAGCAGCTTTCTCCCAATCAAAGTGGCAAAGAAAAGCAACTGTTCGGACATGGGGAGCACAAGAGGACCCAAAGTTGTAATATTTGTCTTTAAAGCATCACCAGCTACTGCCATCAAATCCTTCGACAGAGAAACCCCAACTTTCCCATTGGAATCCTCCAATTGTGTTACACAAGAAAAGCATTTATCGTCTGAACCTTTGTGGGTTCTAACAGTATGGACCAATTGATACTTGGATCGAGAGCGATCAGATGATTTGTTTGACAGCAAAATGGCAGCCCCTCCCATCCGAAAAAGACAATTTGATACGAGCATTGATCTCTCATTCCCAAAATACCAATTCAGTGTAATATTCTCCATGCTGATTACCAGAGCATAAGTATTCGGACGAACTTGTAGAAGATCTTTTGCAAGATCAATCGAGATCAAACCAGCACTGCAACCCATCCCACCTAGATTGTAACTAACTATGTTTCCCCTGAGCTTGTAATGGTTAATAACCATAGCAGACAAAGAAGGCGTTGGATTAAACAGGCTGCAGTTCACAATCAAAATCCCGATGTCCTTTGGTTTTACAAGGGTTTTGGAAAGAAGCTCATCAATGGCACCAAACATTACAGTTTCAGCTTCTTTCCTAGCTTCTGCCATACATGGATTTGGTGGTACCCTCAACACAGCATCAGGGAGATAAGTCGAGTCACCAAGTCCCGACCTCTCAAGAATCTTCGTCTGGAACTCGATATTTTCCTTAGCAAACGAACCAGTCATCAGTGATTTCTCCATGAAAGCCTGCCTACTGCATTTCCTGTCATCTTCAGGCTTATAACACGAGAAATTCACCAGGTATACAGGGCGAGGGCGCGTGAGGAAATACACCGTTGATAGAAAAACCAAGAGGGCCGAGCATACTATAACGGATATGAGATTGAATCTGAGATGATCCCAAAGAACACAAAGGTCTTCGAACGAAAAGGAAGACAACTGGGCCGCAACAACCGCCACCAGAGGGGACAGAAACAGGAACATTCCATGGGTTATGAGGTAATGGTATCCAAGCTTCACATATTTCAATTTCACAGATTGTTTGAAATCTGGAAGCTTTCGCGAAGATGAGGGCGGGATCAAGGGTGTTTTGGCTTCTGATTCACTCATTTTTGGGATTTTACTTCAACTTTCTGCAAATTGAATTGAAGGGGGTTCACAAAAATGAGACACAGAAACTAATTTTTTATACATAAAAATGTATGTGTGTGATTCATCAGAAACGTGAAGGAACAAAGAGAAACTTGAACTCTTTAAATATATTCACAGATCTACAAGGTAATCAGTAAAGGGTTTTTACTAATAAAAAAAAAAAATCCATTCAACCGAGTACGAGATAAAAAATAAAGAATTTTCAAGAATGTACCTTTTCTTAGATTATCTGATAATTCAACTCAAATTTTCATGAAATCCTGGAATAATCAAGAACCCATTGTCACAAAACAAAGAAATAAATAATACCTTCTAAAGAAACCAAATTCAATATCAGCATTCAAATTCAAGAATCAACAAAAAAAATGGGCAAAAAATATTCGGAATTAAAATAAATCGATTTCTGTTTATTGCATACTGAAACAAGCAGAAGCAGAAGCAGAAGCTGCCCTTCTTTTTTTAACGATAAACATACTTCCTCAGAAAACCAACAATTTGTTTATATATAGAGAATGTAAAATGAGTTGTATGTATAGGCGAAATGACTAGGAATTGGGTTGGAAGATCATATCGTGGCCGTGGGGTGGGGAGTGAGGCTGGTCAATTTTGGAGCCTTCAGAATTTGAATTAAAAAAGAAAAAAAAGGGAAATTGCACATGGGGTTCCTAATCTATCTCTTTCAGATGCCGTGGTCTTTAATCCTGGTTTGGTTTTGGATAAAAATTAAATTTTTATTAGTTTTTGACAAAAATTAACGAAATATATGATTGGAAAATTTATAAAAGATGTGAACCTATAAAATATGTGATTGAAAATGACTTTGGAAGAAAATGAATTTTAAGAAATAAGATCAATCATGAGTTTAATATTTCAAGATTGTAGCATCATCTAAGTTCTCTATAGATGGTTTTTATTTATGTTACTGATAAAAAGTGACATCTGTAAGCAACTATTTCAACGATATATAATCAAATAAAAAGAGCAAAAAAATAGTATCTCTCGCTTCTTGTTCCCCCTCAACACCACCTTCCCCTTAACTATCACCATCTCAAACGTTCTTTCTCCTTTTCTTTTCTTACGACTTTTCCTCTTATGCTCGTTTAATATCGATCGTCAATCCCTTTGTCCCGCTTTGTTGGCATCCCCACTCCCTTTTAGATTTTGCACCTTCTGTTTGCCTATAGATTGCATAGTTTGGGAGAAAAACTTTGGTGGAACAATCGTATCGTCATATGCGGTGAGACAGTTGAATGGGGAGCCCCATCTCATCAGGTGGCCCACGTCTCGCACCAATGAAATAAGGCCACCTCCTCGAGACTTGAAGTGAAAAAAGAGAAAAAAAATAAAATCCTGAGGTAGCCTCACGTCATTGGGTGAAGGTGGGCCACCCGATGAGGTGGTGGCTCCATATTCGACAAGCGCATCGCGTAGGATGGTGTGATTGTGCAATCGAAATTTTTCTCGTAGTTTGGAGTTGAAACAAAATAGCAATCACATTGTCTAGTTTCAACAAGATGAGTTGTAACCCTTTATACCAGAAGTCATTGAATAACAAGTCAAGTATTATTGTAACATACTATAAGGTGGGGACATAGGGGAACTTTCCAAAATAAATAGGCAAAATATCACTGGAGGTCCAAAACCTTTAACTCTTAATGCAATTCGATCTATAACCTTTCAAAATAAGCATTTACATCCCTAACATCATTCATATTTTGCTTGATTAGTCCTATATGTACCAAAGTAAATTGGGATGGTCCTTAGTCTTTGTTTTTGTCTTTTTGCTAACAAAAATTTAGAATAAAACCATCTTTCCAACAACAGGTTGACACTTTAACATCTCTTCTAATGGGCAGTGCAAAAAAATTGAAAAGTTGAGAATTTAAATACCCTTTTTGAAATGTTTGGGACTAAAGTGCAACATATCTGTGTCTCTTTTTCCAAATAAATGTAGAATTTTGTGAATTAATCAAAAAAGGTTAAAAAAAAAAAAAA